AAGAAGAAGGGGACGACAGAGAATGAGGTGGCTGGATGGAGTCATCAAAGCAGTATGCATGAGCTTAAATGGACTCCAGAGGATGGTAGAGGACAGAAAGGCCTGCAGGAACATTTTCCATGGGGTTGCAGTGGGTTGGACACGACTTCACAATTAACAACAAATGTTATAGTTTGGATTAGTTGTATCTTATTGTGCTTTTAAATTGCAGAGCCACATGGGATCATTTGACACAGTGCAACAAATAAATAGCATCAATAGCTTTCTGATCCTGTTACAATATATCCATGGCCCTTTGCTTCAATCTCACTCATCTTTCCTTTTACTAAATAAACTTACCGTAATTTAACATTTCATTTAATTTAATAGATGAGGCATTGTAATTTATCTGATTTCCATTTCTTTTCGGGGACATTCCATTCTCTCCCCCCCTCCCCCAATACTCTATTTATATCTATCTTTACTATCTATGAATTTCAATGGATCTTAATTATGTCAGTATCCATTCTTAATTCTTGTAAATATATTATGTAAATATAGGAAAACCAAGAAAAAGGTCTGATATTTCATTAAAACTCCAATTATTTGCTGTGGACATTCTTAATCTTTGGTTTTATTATGACCCTTTTCTAAATCTACTTTATGGATTAAAGCTGGACCCTCTGCTTTCAAATTAAAGCTGGACCCTTTGCAAAACAGATTCCTTTCTCATAGTTAAAGCTTCTCTGAAATTTATTTATGCGTAAAACCAGTGATAACTAGATATTGCAGTTAGCACTCTTATAGCTCCGTAATGTGGAAATTTAGGAAAAGAGATGGGAGGGGAAATTGTCACATATTTTAAGTTTTCTTTGTATGTTACTGTTAATTGTCTTTATTTTGAAGATAGAATAGTTATAGTGCAGTTCAGATAAAAAAGTTTTAGATATCACTGAAATGGAGTGAGGTCTAATGGGGGAAATGAATTTGCTTAATGACTTTGTGATTCACTTAACCACATTGATTCAGTTAATGACTATGGCAAAGAAGATGGTAAAATTGGGCACAACTCATTTACCAACTGTTTTGCTTTATAACATAAGGTCCAGTTCCAATTGTGATAATAAGGATTACCTGCACTTCTGTTATAGATTTTTATTATTGAAAGAAATTAATATGGTAGTTCTAACTCTAACTTTAATGTTAATTTCCTTTCATTTTGCTAGAAAATAATTTATCAGAAAGATGGTTTTAAATGAGATGAACAATGATGGGCACGATGAAGAGGACAAATGCTTGGAGCCTGATGTCATTGCGAAAGGAAACATACTTGAAAGTTTTATAGAGAGTCAAGAAACGAAAGAGTTGATTAATCATCTTAGATTGGTATATGAAGACTTGAAACTGCAAGAACAAGTTCTTGAAAAGTTTAAAGGTAAAAGATAATATTTTAAAATAAAAGTTAGAAACATAAAAATCAATGTTGATCAGGATCTTTATTAGAAATATGTTTGTGCATTTGTATAAATCATTGGAAATGTTATTTGCATTGTTTAGCAAGTGTAGTATATTATAAGAGTAACCAGTTAAGACTATTAATCTCCCTTTATTTACTAACTTAATAGGACTACAATCCTAAATATTTTTTCTAGTTCATCAATAAAGTAGAATATATGAATGTGAATATAAAATTCTGTTAGTCTCAGCCTGATAACTTTTTCTACTAAAATGAATTTTAAATTTTATTAGGAAGGGTAATGACTTAGTTGGGATTTGTAGTTTGTAGTTTTGTAGTTTTATTAGAATTTGTAGGCCGCCCTTTTCCCTAAGGGGACTCCTGGCGGCTCACATAAAACTGGGGAGG